CCCCCCATTCCCTCCCTCTCTCTCCTGCTCTCTCCCCACCCCTCCCTCTCTTCCATATTACAATTACTTAGAATCTTCTGAGCCCCAGCAGTGTACCTCTAAACTGAACCTCGGCCGACTTTAGGGAATGTTTTAATAAACCTGTCTGTGAGGACTGGTTTGGCTGGTCCAATTGAAGTTCTAATTTAGGTTTAAATGAATTGCCTATTGTTGCAACTCATAGAGCACAAATTATTTTCTTTTTAAGTAGAAAGTACTTGATTGAATTTGACACAAAGCCTTGGGTAGTGATCTGGGAAGAAGATAACCATAGAGGTTTTGATTAAAAAGTCTTGCTATGCCCCCTTTCTGAATCAGTGTATATATCATTTTATATAAATTAACATATAAATACACCTCCATGCGTTTTCATTGTCTGTTTGTAACCAGGAGGTCGTTCCCAAGCCATACCTTCCCACAGCGCCCTTTTGAGCTCCCCAGGAATTTAAATGGATACTGTACATTTTTTGGCTTTTACGAAAGTCAAAGCTATTCTTCAGAACCATGAACCGAGACACAATCTGAGAATCTTACTCTGCTCTCTCCTCTGCCTTGTCCCACAGCCTTATTTTTTGTTTAAGGAACGTTACCCAGTCCCACTGCCAGGCAGCTGCGTGGTACAGAGTATTATGCCACAATCTGTAACCCTCCACACCTACGTGTGGAGATGGCAGAATGCACAGGGGGATTCAGACTTGTCTACAGAACAAATCCAAAGAAGTTGTTCTTCTGTTCTGCTTTAGGCCACCATACATTAGGTCGCCTGCTTATCCCAGCCAGTCTGGGGCTGGCGGACGCCCCATGTTTTCTTCCCAGCACCCCAACTATGGCAACTCTCAGGCTCCCATGATGCACCAGCCTGACCAGTACGGGTAGGTAGCCACATCCCCTGACTCGCTGCGGGACCTGGGCATTTTTTAAACTGTTAATGACCGTGCCACCTGGCTGCAAAAGTAACACCCAGAACAAGACCGTGAAAGACCTGAAAGGAAGTCCATCTCAGAGGGGGTTGTCTCTTTGTTTATTTTTGTTTGTTTTGGGTTTTTTGTTTGTTTTTTTCCGTTTTGTTTTTCATTCTTGTTAATGGTACTGTGGTAGTTTGGTAGCAGCCTGCATGCTGACCCCCAGATCCTGTCGTCTTTGCATGGCTTTCGGCATGGCTTCTTTCCTTCATGCCTGAGAGGGAATACAAACTCGTATCTACGTGACAGGAATGAAGTCCCCTACTCTGGTGTCATTTCCCCCATTGTTGTCCTTGTGTTTCTTGTCTAGGAACTCGTATTGTGTAGTGCCGTTATGACTTATTGTCACTCCTGCCACTCCAGTCACCTGCTCCTACACACACCTGCAGCCAATGCCGAGCCTCACTGCAGGTCACGTGACTTAGGCGATTAACAGGCTATGTCAGGGACTTCATTACAGCATCACTGAACAAACGTCGGTGCCAAAGGTTTCCATTATTTCCTCCACCCAAGGAGTTTTAGGAAATTGAAGTCACCAGGAAAATACAACCAGATAATCCAACACAGAATTTTCCTTCTAAACACAGTGTGGCCTGCCATATTCCTATCAATTACAACACAGGAATTACATACAGCAACAAAAAGTGTCTCTCGGCTCTCCTACAAACCGATGTAATATCAGGCTGTCACCATTTATGTTAGTAAAGGCGCTTAAAGTATATGATTATTGAGGGATTTACTAAGCTAAAGTATGACTATTCATATCTTTTTGCACGTAGTGACAATCAGATTATCCTACATAGATTGAATCGTGTTCAGTAGTTATTTTCAGCAGAAACATGCCATGTTTTTGGTTAAAATAAAGCAGAGCAGTCAACTAGGTTTGTTTAAAGACTAAACTTATAGAACCGTGCTTTCTCACTTGTTATGAATGCATAATACAGAGAGCTTTTTAAGAGTTTTACACTCAGTATACATTTATGTAGACGGCAGAGCAAATGATAATTTTGCAATTGAGAGTTCTAAAATCCTGTAAACATGGTTCTAAATGTGGACCAACAAATCCTATAAACATAACCCTAAAAATGAAATGAATAGAGAAATAGGTGAACATCCTTATTTTGGGGAAATGGTCTTTTCCTCTTTTTTCCTTTTTGTGCTGCCTTCAAAGGCACTTCATGAGTTGGTAGGTAGGAAGATAGCAGTGGGGGTGGGGGGGGGGTTAATTTATCATCAGCTGCTAATCCATAGGCTCTGTCCTTTACCAACTCAGGAGTGCTATTTAGACCCACAAAGCTGGTTTGGCCAGGCCTTGCCAGGCCACATTAAGCAGCTGTGTAAAATGAATTTCAATGGCAGGCATCAGAGGGAAATCTCTTCCACTGGGGCAGAAAATCAGTGTTAGCTAAGCAGCACGAGAAGATCAAATCTGCCTTCAGCCAGCAGCATCCAGAGAGCTTCCTTACAGACAACACCTCCTCCTTCATTAAAAATAAGAAAAGAAAGATGTTGGCGTTTCTGTGTGAATCTTACCCAGCTCACTTGGCAACGCTCATCTCTGCAGCCCCACCCCTGTGAGCTCTGAATTTTGTCTCTCGTGTCTTTCTAAAAAAAAAGAAAAAGTTTTATTTCTAATTGGAATCTTCCTTCCTTCGCACTTTGCAATACACATAACCTGTTGTGCCTTTTTTTTTTTTTTTAAGCAGAAGCTTGAAAACATGTATAGTACATGTTTTAATGCTGTGGGTTAAGAAGTTTGATTTTCAACATGCTTTTGCTTGACTTGACAGCTCATTGCAACAAACTCCTGTTTTTGCTTTTGTTTGTGCTTTCCTTCCCCGTTGATAGCTCTGTCAGGTTTCAGTTAAGTTGGCAATTTGCAAAGCCAGTTCGCCAAGTGTCACTTCTCTCTTGGAAAGGAAGAAGTGGTTCAAGCCTTTCAGAAACACTGTTTGCAGCTTGTTATACTGACTTCTTTCTGAGGTCAACATCCCAGAGGGGTTAGAGCCTGTGAACGAACCTGAAAAACACAAACCAATGACAAAAGTAGTGAGAGAGAGTGTGTGCAATAGAAACAGAAAGCTCGCTGTAAACATGCAGGGTGGTGGCCATTATGTTCAGGCTTTCTCGGCCGGTTGAGTATGAGCTAGGACACAGACAAAGCACCCAGGTGGAACTGGTTGGAAGCAGTTTCACTAATTCCCTTTTCTGAGTGACACTCTGAGGGTAAACCCACCTGCTACACTGAATAAGTTACAGAACATACAGATGAATTGTTTTGCCTTTTTCTCCTTTTGAACAAAGGAATCCCTTATTTTGATTATAGGAGAATTTATAATGGAACGTGGTGAATCTTATGGTTCAGGTAGATTAGCTGAGTAATAACATCCAATTATCGGTCCAGGACCCCGCCCCAGACACAGTGATAGATTTTTTTACTCTGAAAATGCATTGCTGTGTTTAGTTGTAAAGCATTCCTGGTTACTGTAATATTCCTTTGAAGTGATGAGAAACAGAGCATTAGAAATAACTGGTTGATCTTACCAAAAGCCTAGTTCAGGGATGGCAAACAACGTTCATCGTTATCCGATGTACAGCGTCGTGTCGGAAGAGTTCTGAGACATCATCTGAGCACAGAGATCCAAAGTCAGCCAGAAGTTTAGGAAAGACTTCAGCTGCTGTTTCCTAAAGTAGCATCACCATGAATCCCAGCCTACAGTACAGCCTGTAATATTTTTGAATGACTGAATCCATTGTCAGTGACCTTTATGCTTAAAACACACACATGTACATACACATGTGACATAAATTCCCCTCAGTCATGTAGTATGCTTCGGTGGCACCTGGAAGTGTTCAACAATTGACATCTCTGCCAAACATACATG